CCTGAGTGTCAGTTTGGTGTACAGATAGTCCCCACTTAACAACCAGTTTGAAATTACAATGGACCCTTGCCCCCAATAGCTACTTATGACCTGTTCCAGATTTCCGATGGCTACAGAGACCATTTTGGGCACTTGGCAACCAGCTCACCTGTACAGTAATTGCAATGTTGTTCAGTCACATGACCATAATTTGCAAGATTTGTTTTGCCTGTTTCCAGTCTTTTTGGCCTGTTTCTGGCCACCCTTCCATAGGAATATATTGCTATGGACCGGGTTTTGCTAGAAAATAGAAGTAAATGGCCATATTTGTGAGCCAGTTGGCAAGCACCCAAAATGTGATCACATGACAGGAAGGACAATGCCAGAACTTCAAAACCAGATCATAAGCCCCTTTTGGGAAGTCTGTTGTAATTTCAAACAGTTGCAAAGCAATCAGCCATAAGTCAAGGACTACCTGCGCAGCATAGAACTTGAAATATATGCCAGGTTGAGATTGCCTACATGTATTTTATTTATTTATCAATCGAATTTACACAGCTGCCCATCTCTCCCCAAAGGGGACTCTCTTAATTCTCACTTTTGGGATTATTATATTCCTAAAAATATGGAGATCAAGCCTTGTAAATCACGATGACAAGCACATAACTTCATGCTCTATTAGCCTTTGCTCTTTCTCTGTTGTACTTACAGCAAGGTTGATGTCATGAGCCACCAGACCGCATTTGCAGAGTCCAGAGTCTACTGGGAGTGGCATCAAACATTTTGGCTCACTTCCCATTCAGAAGGTTGAGAGTTCAATCCTAGGTAGCAGCAGGTATTTCTCTCCTAGGGCGCAGAGAAAAAAATATCTGCTACGAACTCCGCGTGGCTTCAGGAAAAGCATCCGGCTAGTAAGTGTTCACTTCCATCCAGTTGCCCCGACTCTACCACAAATTAAGGGTTTATAGCAGCGGTCTCCAATCTTTGTGGCTTGACAGCCAGGGGGAGGGAGGGGGGAATTGAACTGTGCGGGCCAGCACATGTGCACACACACACACACACAACCCTTGCCTGTGTGGTGGGCTGTCGTACACATGCGCAAGTCAACTTGCACGTTGCAGGCCGGAGCATGAGTGCCTGCTGGCGTGCTGCTCATGCAAGTTGAGCTGCGAGCGCACACCCTCCAGCCAGCTACTCATGCAGCCCAATTCCAAATATGTCACAGCCCAGTAGTGGGCCACAGCACAGGGGTTTACTGGGTCATAAAAAGGGCATTTTATTTTGTTCTCGGCTCTGTGGGATTTTAACATTGGCATTTTAAGTTTTTCAGATGGTTCCAACACTCATCACATGCTTAAAGCCTCCCTCCAAAAACCAGGCTTAAGAATCAAAATGGATGCTTTAAAATCTTGCCTCCTACATTCCCTCCCAAACCTCCTCCAAACCAGAAGCAGAAATACAGAAATTTTGCGAAGTACCTTCAGAAATTCTGATGATCTGCCATGCACCCAATCACATGACTTTCTTCCCAAAAGCAGGGCTCAAAAGATGGGTCACTTCGATTGAGAGGATACTTTTAAAAGGCACCTTCTCTGCATTTAAACCATTAGGAAAGAAGGACAGTTAACAAAGTCTAGAAATAAATTCATCTGGATTGAGGTTTCATGCCCATCCATGACCAGATCAGTTTGATTTTAGTTCTTGACTTTTTAACCTACAATAATTAGATACATACCTAGTTTTGACTGTAGCCAGTTTTTTTACTCCCAAGAACCAGACTCCAACTTTTGCTTGCTGGCTGCTTCTTCCTAGCAAATCCCTGGTACTATTTAAAACAGCTGTGTCTGATAGGAACCAATTCACATGTTTGGAAACTACTTAGCATTAAAGTTGTAACGTACTTTCACTCTTCCCTTCCCAATTTTCCCAAGAATTTTAATCATCTGGGTATTATGTTCCTATGAACTTGAAAGCTCTCACATTATTCTGAAATCATTTAAATTACTCCCAGATTTCCACCTCTGCATCTTCCATGTTTTAGAAGAGTCACTACAGAATTATAATCTTGGAAAGAATAAAGGGCAAGGGACATTCTGACACCTCCCCAGTTTTAGGATGGCAGAGGTTGCTGTGTGTAATATAGAAAAATCAGGTTTTTAATTCTTTGAGCTTGATACAGAGCAAGCAATAATGGTAGAATCATCCAACACAAGCTGATTATTGGTTGAAGGAAGTTCCTTGGCTTAGCTCCTGCTGACTATGTAGGTGTCTCTATTGATTGCTTGGCAACAAGTGGTTTTTCATGATCTTTTATAGTTTGTTTATTTACGAATTTATCCTGTGCCTTCAAGGCAGTCTTGGATCTACATGGGAAAGTCCTTCATTTCCTTGCAATGTGGTTTGCCTTTGCTTTCTTCCTAGGACTGAGACAGACTTGTCCAAAGTGATCCAGCTGGCTCCCTCACCAAGGCAGAATTAGAACTCACTATCTCCTACTCTAGTCCTATGCCTTTAAGCACTATAAAACTGCCAATTTAATCTGAAGTCTGGGAATTTCCTTGTGGTCTCTCACCCAAGTACCAACCACAACTCACCCTCTTTAGGCATTTACAGACCAATTAAGGTGACCTAGATGCTACCATCTTCCATGACTCCATAGGTTTTGCCAGCACATCAGAAGAGTGGATGGAGACCATGAAATTATGCACGATTTTAGCTGTGCTTATCTGATACTTTGGTCTGCTATCCATTTCCACTCAGATGGAGCTCTATACTGATTATGCAAGAAACTATTGCCGTATTTTTCAGAGTATAAGACGCACCTTAGTTTTTGGGGAGGAAAATAAGAAAAAAGCTGACTGGTGGGTAGATCAGCCTCCCAGAATACCCCCAATCATCTGTTTCCAGAGGTGAATTTTAACAACAGGTTGGTTGGTTGTGAGCTCTGTGCCTTGATTTTTTTCTGCCTCTGAAACTTCTGAAACATTGTTTCAGAAAAAACTTTTTTCTGCCTCTGAAAAGCCGAAAAAAGCCTCCGAAACAGAGCTTCAAAAAAAGGCTTTTTTTCTGAAGCTTCTTTTAGGGTTTTTTTTTTTTTTCTGAAGCTTCTTTTCAGAGGCTTTTATTCTGAAGGACTATCTGTACTCTGTTCAATCTCCTTTCTTTGGTATTGGTATGTAAATTAACCTCTTCAGGATCTGTTGGTTATTGTGTCATTCTCCAGATTTTTAACATAGTTTGGTTAGAACCTTTACTGATTCTTCTTTTGTTGCTTGCCATATTATTTTAGATAAAACACTTTCAGAGGCTTTTTTTCTGAAGCTTCTTTCAGCCTCTGAAATCTCGGTTTGGAAAGCTGGGTGGGGCTACATTCCAAGTATAAGATGTACCCAGATTTTCACCCTCTTTTTTGGGGAAAAAGGTGCGTCTTATACTCTGAAAAATACGGTACTTTCTTTTTTATATATGAAATCCTAAGCCAACATCAGAGAACACAGTACAAGAAAAAAGCATTCTTGTTCTTCACCCCAAACTAAGCCCCAAAAGCTGTAAGCTAAAGTCAGTGGGAAAATTTACAAGGTTACAAGGAAAACAGTTTAAGAGGAGATACTACTCCCTACAATTCAACTCAGAAAATACTTCAGAAAAGCACAGGATTCAGTGGACATCTAAAAATAGTGTTAACCTCTTACAACTTTACATCAAACAGGCCTAAGTCCTCAATAAGTTTATGCATAATAGACAGGCCATGATGGTAAGGTCTGGAAGGCATGGGGGTTGCTGCCCACTGAATTCAGGCAGGACTCAAGAATATAAAACCTTCAGCCCCAGTTAAAAAGTTAAGTTATGAACTGGGCTAGTCTCCTGGTGATCACCATGGAAGAAACAATGCAAGATTCACAACATGTGACAAAAATAACTATATCAGCTTCTTCAAACTGCTATTTTCAATATGTTAGACTACAATTCCCAGTCACCACCCTGTGTGTGGAGAATTCTCATAATTAGAGACCAGTATATCTAAATAACAAGAGATTAGAATCATCTGTTTATTTTTCTAGGGTTTCTTTGTCTTATAAATTTGAATGGCAGTTAACAGTGAATCAAAATGAGACTCCTATTTGCCAAACTGCATTTTTCATCTAGCTTTCTGGCAAGAGCTGAAATTTCACAAGGCTTCAGAAAGGGGGAAAGAGGCATCTGATGATGAAGTATAGCATGCTTACACATACCAAGTGTGCATCATGTGACATTTTCAACTCTACCCTGGATGAACTAACTACCTGCCTTTCAACACAGCCATATGTGAGACTCTGGAAGTGAACATACTTTCTATGATCTCTGATCAGGGGTGAAATCCAGCAGGTTCTGACAGGTTCTGGAAAACCAGTAGCGGAAATTTTGAGTAGTTCAAAGAACCGGCAAATACCACCTGGCTGGACCCAGAGTGGGGTGGGAATGGAGATTTTGCAATATCCTTCCCTTGCCACACCCACCAAGCCACGCCCACAGAACCAGTAGTAAAAAAAATTTGGATTTCACCACTCATCTCTGATGGCTCTTTCTGGAATATTCAGATGATAACTATAAATCTCTTAAGTCTGCCCAAACTCTCTACAGATAAATAACTGAAGTTTTTCAAGAAGCGCTGATTGAAATGTTTTTAAACCTTATTAAAACCTTTTTTGCTTTAAGTTTCCCCTTCAAAGTTTTCCTTGAGAGAATGTCAGTGGAAAAAGGCTCTACAACCCCTTGTCAGAAAACAGACTTGGGTACAAATTATCCCTAAGTAGGGTTCAATAACCAATCCCCTCCCAAACCCTTGGGGAATGGCATTAACTAAAGAACCATTAGTCATCATCTTCATATAACACTCCTTCTCTCCTTTCCTGAAGTACTTCAGCCAGAACTCCAGGATGCCAGCATTAGCACAATGGCAGCCAGGCACATTCCCCGACCCCCTGCTCATAGCTACCAAGAATAAAGCAGAGTCCAACACAAGACCATAGTGGAGTAGCATGGACATCAGATCTGTAAGTTTATTTGCTCAATGTACGACGGCTACATAATGACTCACATTCATGATATTCCATCACTGAGGAAAACTGCTAAGAATGGTCCGTGTGTGAAATAATTCCTTACAGAAACACGGAGTTGGAAAAATAATCACTGATTAGACTTTAAAAAGAGTTCACTGCATAACATGACAGAAAAGCACAAACAAAGGCTCATTCAAAGAACATAGTCATTTTTCTCCTACACTGTAATAGTTATAATTTCACCATGACGAACACCAGACATTAAGATTAAGCTAACACTGGTGTTTTCTTTGCTTTCCTTTTTTTAAAAAAAATCATATATAATTGCATGTCACTATAGCAACATCCATAACAGATCAGTTTTGTTACGATCACTATTTGGTAGAGCAAACTTTACCCCCGAAAAAGGAAAAATAAAATAAATTAAAAAAATTTTAAAAATTGTTGAAGACTATTGTCATAGGAATACATAACATCTACAGTATAAGTTAATAAATTTCAAGCTACTTTATAGAAATACAACACCAGCATGCACAATATTGTATCAATAGAATAATGGAGCAGTTATTCATTTCACTGGAGAAACAGTTATCATAGGCAAGTGCATTTCTTTAACAAAAAATTGAAAGAAACCATTCAAGCTGCTCGCATCCCCCAACCCCCTGCCCCCCACTCCATATTTAGCCCTCTTGTGCGATCTTTTTCCCCTGCATAAAGTTTTCCTAAAGCAGCCAGAGCTAGAAGCTGGAAAAAAATCAAGAAAGGTTTTGTAATTCCAGTAAATCACTTCCAAATCAAAGCCAGGGATACGCACTGCTCACACGACTGCAAATTAAAGAGAAGCCTTAAAATGTTCTTCCAGTCCACAATATTTCTTAAGAGGTTTCACTCAGTCACTCAAGTTGCAAGCCTCTCCTCCTTAGTAGAGCAAACGGGATGCACTAAACAGGCTACTGGCGTGGCACTTTACTGAAGTGGCCCTGAAGGGAAAGTCACTGAATGTATATTACCACACTGCAACAAAGTACAAGTTATGTTTGGTTTTTTAAGAAATGTATCTGCACTGGATGCATTGATGCTGATTTGCCAGCTTTTTGCAATATCAACCCATCTTAAACTTTTACTTTCTTTGGAATTGCAGACCGTCAAGAAGACTCACCCTACTGTCCAGGTGCATTGTAGCAAATTAAACAGAAAAAAGTCTAGACCACCATGAGAAACGAGATATCCCTTTTCCACAGAGGGAAATAGATCTATTTGTACAATGGGAGTCATTAGAGCCCTGTTTCCTTCTAAGGTGCTTTTGACTAACAGAAGCTATATTTAAAATAAAAAACCCCGTAATTTATGAAGGAAAAAAGCAATGAATTTCCAATCACTATGATTTATTTTCAAAAATGGATGACAAAAAATTCCTGATCAGCTGTAGTTTCCCCCCACTCCCAGCAGATTAAGTATCACAAATGAACAGAATTTTCTGTACATCTTTGAAATAGGCCAAGATTTGTTAAATCTTGTTATTTGTTAAATAGGACACTGGCATCAGATACTTTTCTTTGTGGATGTTTCTACCCTGATAGATTCACTTATAATCACAGGCTTGCAATACAGAAAGGCCCTGCCTTCAATATGGGCAACAAAGGAAAGGTCAGAGGCATGGGGAAAAGAGGCAGAAGAGATCTGCTGAAAATCTTTTAATTATACTAGGAGAAATGTAAGCTTTTGAGCAAACTGGCAGCAGGATCCCTGAGGATGGACTATAACACCTTTCCTCTTCCTTTGAAAAAGAAGAAACGGCCTTGGAAAATTCCAGACACTGAATAAGAAAAATACAGGTCTGAATTAACAATAGTCAAATAGCATTATGTTTTAAGAACTTCTCTCGTCCAATTTTAAGTTCTGAATCCTTTGCTGTGAATTCCTGTACTTCATAGAGCCGTTTGCCAAGCATCTATTCAAATAAGGCAAAGGAATCAAAAGAAGATAGATCGTTTTCATGTAGTATTCAAACATCTGGAAAACCGATTCTCAGATGCAAGCTGCAGAAGAACATTTAAGCCAGAAAGAAACAAATTTAAACTCAAAAAGCTTGGTGTAAAATATGGCTGTTGTGTAGAAATACTGTAAACTGTAATGTAATGTTAATACTTCAGCATCTAAACTCCAATGCTAATGATCTTGGGATCTTTTTAAAATTATGCCATAATAAATGGAAACTCAAATCTTCCATAATTGGAGGTGGACAATAGAGAGACAAGACAAAAACTTCATCTTAACATAGTGTGACATTTCATTGAGAAGAGAATGACTGGGAAACCTTACTGGAACCACAGAACAGCTTCTCAAACAAACAAACAAACAAAGAAATCAAACCAAGGGGAAAAAAAGAGAGAGGGCCATTCCATTCAAGTTAGTCATCATTAACTTCATGTATGCCTAGCAATTAAGATAACTTAAAGACAGCTCCCCTTGAATTAATAATCAACTGAACAGTCCATATGCCATTGTGAGGCTGCTATTCTACTCCATACCACCACAGCCAGCCTGATTTTCCACTAGTGGTGTTTTGGCAAAAGTGTCACAGAGGCAATCAAAGACAGGTTGCGGGGAGCCTCCCTGGAAGATCACACCTCCTTTTTCCCCTACCCCACCCCTGACCCCCTCCCCCCCCACTTTTCACTTGTGGGAAAAAAAATAAAGACTGCAGTAGTAGCATCGGCGTGCGGCTGCCAGTCCATCCAAAGGTTCTAGTTGTTGCCTTCACCACCATCGTCATCTTGCTGGTCGCTTGTCCAGAGCGTTAGGTTATCACGGAGCAGCTGCATGATGAGCGTTGAGTCCTTGTAGGAATCCTCGTTGAGGGTGTCCAGCTCAGCAATGGCATCATCAAAAGCCGTCTTGGCCAGGTGGCATGCCTGTTCAGGGGCATTCTGGATCTCATAGTAGAAAACAGAGTAGTTAAGGGCCAGGCCAAGTCGGATGGGATGAGTTGGCTGCATGTGTTCCTTGCTAATCTCATGAGCTTCATTGTATGCCTTCTCAGAGGATTCCACCACAGTCGCTCTCTTCTCCCCTGTGGCCACCTCAGCAAGATAGCGATAATAGTCCCCTTTCATCTTCAAGTAGAAGACTTTGCTCTCATACTGGGTCTCGCTGCAGTTCTTGATCAGGTAGTTGTCTAGGAGACTGAGTACATCCTGGCACACAGCTTCCAATTCCTTCTCAATCTTCTCACGATAAGCCCGCACCATCTCAATTTTCTTCTCATTGCCATCAGCAGAGGTCTTCTGCTCAATGCTACTAATTACTCGCCAAGAGGAGCGTCGGGCCCCAACTACATTCTTGTAAGCTACAGACAAGAGATTTCTTTCTTCGTTAGAGAGTGGCTCATTCAGTTCTGTCACCTGTATGAGACAAAGGATGACAAAATATATTTAATTAATAGTTTTGCTTTTTCACTCGAAACCATGCCACTTTCAAATTGAATTCAGTGAAATCTTTCTCACCAACCCACTACTTATATACATCATAACATTTCTTAAATACAACATCATAACATTTTCACACCATTACTGACTTAATAAGTCATGCAAAAATTGGGCACTTTCTGAGTTATGAAGGTTAAAAAGTATGGTCCAGATCAAAGAAAGTTACTAGCAGTAATTAAAATTAATACAGTTAGTCCCAGACTTACAACCTCCGTTCAAGTTCTATCTTCCATTTTTCAGCAAAACCCTACTGTTTCCCCGAAAATAAGACCCTGTCTTATATTTTTTTTGAATCCTGAAATAAGCACTTGGCCTTATTGCCATGTGCTCAAAAGCCCAATTGGGTTTATTATCAGGGATGTCTTATTTTGGGGAAAACAGGGTATCATAGCAAATGGTGCCATGATGGTGCACTGGTTAAAACGCGGTACTGCAGGCTCTGTCCACTGCCAGGAGTTCAATCCTGACTGGCTCAAGGTTGACTTAGCCTTCCATCCTTCCAAGGTGGGTAAAATGAGGGCCGAAATTGTTGGGGGCAATATGCTGACTCTGTAAACCGCTTAGAGAGGGCTGTAAAGCACTATGAAATGGTATATAAGTCTAAGTACTATTGCCATAGCAAACCATTGGTTCACTTAATGACTATAGCAGTTAACAACCATAGATTTGTTTAACTACAGCCACAAAAACGATCATGAAATTGAGTCAATCATGTGACCAACACACTTTATTATCATTATTTATTTATTTATTTATTTATTTATTTATTTATTTATTATATTTCTATACCGCCTTTCTCCCGTAGGACTCAAGGCGGTGTACAGTCAAGAAAAATATAGACACACAAACATCATAAAATTGCTAATTAAAATTATAACTTAGTTTGGTCAATTAAATAAAACCCAGAATTAGATAACATTTAAAAAATCATTCACGTTTGTATGTTTAGCCCTGCCTGTTGGAACATCAGGGTCTTGAGGGCACGGCGGAAAGCACGGAGATCAGGGATATTCCGTATCTCCGGGGGCAGTTCATTCCAAAGGGTTGGAGCCCCCACAGAGAAGGCCCTCCCCCTGGGAGTCGCCAGTCGACATAATTTGACTGACGGTACCCTGAGTAGTCCCTCCCTGTGAGAACGAACTGGTCGGTGGGAGGCTATTGGTGGCAAAAGACGGTCTCGTAGGTACCCAGGTCCTAAGCCATGGAGCGCTTTAAAGGTGATAAGTAACACCTTGAATCGCACCCGGAAGACCACCGGGAGCCAGTGCAGCTCGCGTAGGAGAGGTGTTACATGGGCGTAACGAGCTGCGCCCATAATCACCCGTGCGGCTACGTTCTGGACCAGTTGGAGCCTCCGGGTGCTTTTCAAGGGGAGCCCCATGTAGAGAGCATTACAGTAGTCCATACGGGAGGTAACTAGGGCATGAGTGACCGTGCGCAAGGCGTCCCGATCCAGAAAGGGACACAACTGGCGGATCAGGCGAACCTGATAAAAGGCACCCCTGGCCACGGCCGTCAAATAATCTTCTAAAGATAACCATGAATCCAGGAGGACACCCAAGTTGCGGGCCCTCTCTGTGGGGAGCAAGATCTCATCCCCTATTGTCAGTGATGGTACCAGCTGACTATACCGGGACGCCGGAAGCCACAGCCACTCGGTCTTGGAGGGGTTGAGTCTGAGCTTGTTTCTCCCCATTATGAGTTACAACTGTGATAGGCAGATTTCATTACAGTGGTACTCGAGGACTACTTCTACTAGGAACATCACCACCAGAAGTAAATTTTGTTTTTTAAAAAATTAGCTAGCAATACAGAGACAGAGAGGTAATTCCAAAATTATATTAGGTTATAAAGATTTATTAGGTTATAAAGATTTGATGAACACTATTTTAAAAGGGGGTTCTTTAGAAATAAACTAAAATTGCAGAACTGTAGAAGTCAAGCCTGAAAGGCAGCAGTTTGAAATGAAAGTCACAGAGTGATCATGAAAAAAGTACATAGGAAGCAAGCCAGGCAGCAAGGTTGAAAATAATATGCTAATGAGAGACAAATGTACTATACAGATAAGACAAATTGAGAAATTTGAAACTCAGAATGCTATTGAGGTCCTTAGTCCCCTGATTTTCATGTTACTTTTCATGGTCTACAAGACTTGGAAAGTATTCCTAAAAAAAGAATCTGATCCTAGAAGTCAAAATCTTCTTGTATGCTCTAATGACATTTTTATGCTAAATTTAGCATGACCACTATGCTTAATTTTGGCAAGCAAGTACCCAAAGTTAGTTGTTTGCAGTCTTAAGCAATGGTGTCACAATTGCCACAAAAATGCCTGTATCTTGCCAATACAGGAACTCAGCATCTACCAAAGCTAACCAAGTGGGAATATCTGTATTTGGCACACTGGCAATAATAAAAAAATAAACCTTGGTTATACCTCTTACAGAAATACACCAAACTAAGAGAAGAAACTATCTGCACAAATAGAGCCATTATTTTCTAATACATTAAACAATTTCAGATGGTTGATGGTGGAAGTATTTAATCAGCAACATCAATTAACTTGGCACCAGAATTTCAAAATTGTATGGTATATACTTTTTCTAATGAAGGACAGACTCAGCAAAAGCAGGCAAGTAGCAGCCCCCAGCAAGAGCATCAAGATGGGATCTTAATGACAGCAAGGCAAGTAGGTATCATATTTAAGAATGCCATTCTGCCACCTACACAGCATTTTTCTAGTTTAGGCCACAGAATATTTATTTTTTAAATTTTGTTTTATAAAATATGCTAGAAAGCTATTTTAACGCTTGGCAGGCTTATTTTAGCTACATTTACCGGTAATCATTTAATCATTCTTTAAAAGACGACACTGTCTCTTAACAATTTTTCTGAGGTTTGGTATCTGCTGAGAAATAAACCTGGCATCTAAGAAGTTTACAAACCTGGAAAGGGGTTTACGCTTTAGATGGACAGTGTTGTGTAGTACAGCAAGTAATTATTCTAATTTATGACAGATCCACAGACTTCTGATATGCTGGAACAATACAAAAGACCAAAGCAGACCTGAAACATCTCCTAGCAGAGAAGCTGCCTCAGGAGTGCTAGAGAGTATCATGCTATACCTATAATAGTGTATATATTACAAATGATAAGCTTACATACAGACATGATCTGTTCCTTTGTTTAAAAAAGAAACAACCAGTATCCCCAATTAGTGTTACTTTCTGCAGAATGTTAGAACTTTAGGTAAAACAGGAATGAAGCACTATTGGTAAATTTGTGCAAAGTTCTGTGATGAAAAATGTATGACCTTTATAAACTCTATATTTATAATCTTATAATATCAATGATATACCTGAAGGGGGTTTTTCCACCAAAGTATAGTTTTTATAATAAAACAGCCCAGCTTTGAAGTTGAATTAATTTTCGCAGTGTAACCAAATGTTACACATCAGTTTCACAAACTGATGTCAAGGAGTAAAATGGACTGTTCAATTCTGTATTTTTCTTTTGAAAATTGTACAAGTCTAACCCAAATGAAACTTTAACCCTGGAAACAAGTTAGAACAGACATAACTTCATTTATGTAGGTATATATGTCAACGAAACTAACTTGACACAAATATAGGTTTAATACAAAAAGACATTATTTTTTAGATATGCGTTGTTTTCTGCTTTTTCTTTGCTTTTACATCACCAATATTGTATTTATAATTCATTTCATATTATATACTCAGGAAGGCTAGTACTTAAAAGAATAGGATATATATCTTGGTAAATATTTGTAGATGGGAAGACATTCAGTACACTACTCAGTATGTTACTGCTCTCTGCAGTGGCCAGTTTTCCTCACAATTTATTTCCTCACAATTTAGATATATTGCTGTTGCTAGGGAATAAAATCCTCATCATAAGCAAAGGCTTCTCTGGGCCTATTATTCTGCTTACAGTCTTGCATAGTAACAGAGGACCAAGGATACTCATGACATTGTATTTTTAAATAGCAACAAACTTTAATTCATCAGTTACTTCAGAAAGTGCTTTTCAAAACCATCAAAGACCACTTGATTTCAAAGCATTCAGCAAGTAGATAATTTTGATTACAGATAGTATTAAACTCTAATTTGGAATGTCTCATTTATGATTCTCTTTCAGCAGAATGAACATGTAACTACATATACAACTTTAACTGTTTGACAGTAAAAGGAACAGTTGACTCGTATTTACCAACAAATTTTATAGTAATTAATATTTAAGATTTCATTTCATTTCATTCTAAAGTAGATCAGTGCTTTGTTTTCAACTGTGAGTCTTTTCCATTGGGCTCCAAATGCTTAATTTTGTGGGGGTTTTTTCCCCAAGAAAAAAGCTAAGCCTTAGCTGTCCCATGCCTAAGCTACTGTTAATAATTTCATGTGTATCAGCTACTAGGTAAAATGCAGAAATCGTTTATATTATTGCCATTGTGCAATTTCACAAATAATTGGAAGACAAGCTAAACATCTCGTATTTTGTCTGTGCCAGGAGAAAGAGTGGTAGATGAATCCAAAGTTAATGCACATTTATATTAAAATTATTATAAACATATAGCTGCTGTGTTACATGTGAATTACCGCTGATAGAAGAATCTGTATTTGAGACCTGTCAGGTGGGAAACTTTATAAAGGCTAGCTTGCCTCTTAATACAAGTTTTCAATCTGCAGAATTGCTGTTGCAATTAGCATGACTGGGGCGAAGAAATTGTTCAAAAATAGGAAATTATTTCATTCCAAAATACAATTCATATAAATCAATGATGTACAGATATACAAATCACTGATAAAAATTATTTACCATATTTTTCAGAGTATAAGATGCACCTTTTTCTCCCCTAAAAGAGGCTGAAAATTTGGGTGTGTTTTATACTCGGATTGTAG